CTACGGATGTTTATTTGGTCTTCTAGTCTTCTCATAGTCAGCTGACAATTTTGACACACAATTCAATCAATTTTTGCAATATTTCTATCAGTTCTTCTCCTACTGGCCACCTTGACCTTCTTCATCAGTGACACTTTCTCTCTCCTTGGAAAAATGATTAATCCTGCTAGCTATGATTGGACATGCTTATAATCCAAGCACTCTGGGAGACCAAAGCTAGAGTATCCCTTAAGCTCACAAGTTCAAGACTAATCTGAGTGAGAGCGAGATTCCATTTCTACTAAAAGTAGAAAAATCAGCTGGGTGTTGTGGTGAGCACCTGTAATTCTAGCTACTTAGGGGGCTGAGGCAGAAGGATAGCTTGAACCTAGGAGTTTGAGGTTGTAGCGAGCTAGACTGATGGTATGGCACTCTAGCCCAGGTAACAGAGTGAGTCTCTGCCTCCAAAAAAAGAAAAAAAAAAAAAAAAAAGGAAGAGAGAAAAGAAAAATGATTAATCCATTTGTACGCTGTCATTTTCCTCATGGTATTATCTTCATAAACTTAGACTATCCCTGAATTCACTTCTACTCTTGCCAAGTTTAACAAAAAAATTAATGTTTGTTCATTGCCATAATTAAACATCGATATTCTTGTGATAGCACAGAAAAACCTAACAACAATAATGAACACCACTCAGCAAGACACTGCCACACATCAACACTAACATACCTATGAGATGTTGCTATACCAAGGTTGTGAACCTTTAACCATTTTATTGTACAGTGCTGCTGATGTAAGTTAATGGTAGCAAGTTTGCAAACTTTATTGACAGTAGTATCTTGTTTAAATTATTACATTGTGAGAATATGAGTTATAGATGTCTTCAAGCTTGAGGGAAGAAATATATTCCCCAGCCTATGTGTATAAAACTTAGGTAGTTTACCAATGGTCAGCAAGATTAATTACCAAATGCTTGATACTTGTGTATATGTCCTGTCCCCTTCCCATGTCAAACTTGAAGCTACAATAGTTAGCAACATCTACTTTCTATATGACTGTGCTTATAATGAGGCATAAATGATAAAAAATGATAAAATCATTTTTAGGCAAAAATGATTTAAAAAAAAAACAAAACTGCTGTCCCATACCATAAAATACCCATAAATCACTTACTGAAAAATGATTATTCTAGCGTTACTTTTTGGTTTTCTTTTTTTTATTATTTGTTCTTGTTGTTGTTCACAGAAAGAATTATGTACTTTTTGCCTCATAAGCATCACTACACTGAAGTTCAAAGAGTACTTTGACAAGAATGTCAGAAGCTTGCTAAAACCAGATCAGTCACTTAGTAGCTCAGCCCACCAAAGAAAATTCCCTGTGAATTTTCATTTTAGATGGAATTTTATTTGGTTGGGTCTTGTGAATGGAAAAGATAGATATTAAGCATCTTGTTTAAATAGATTAGTGAAAATGCTAATTTGAGAGCCGTATATGGGCCTTTTCATTTAGCCTCTCTTTCTGTAACAAAGATGCTTCACCACTGTACATCTCTAAAGTTTGCAAATATGTGAGCAAACTAAGTAAACTGAGGCTCAGAAGTTTTAAGAGGCTAAGCTCTAATTTACATTGAGACCTGCCTGGAAAATTATCATTATTTCCCTTTTTCCTTTAGACAACTCTTTTGTATTTATGTTTCAGAATACACTAATTTTTGAAATTATATAAAGCCGTGGATTAGTGTCTAGACTCTGACTACCATCAACTCTAAAAGAAAATCATCCTTAATAATCAGAATGTTAACAAAACTGGTCATAAGCATATGGTTTAACTTGAAAAGTACCACCTATCAAAATGAGCTTGAAAAGTTAGTGGTTGTAGAACACACATCCAATAAAAATCCCAACTATTTTTTTTAAGGTAATGTTAAACATTTTCATTTTAGCTTCCACCTGTAACAACAAATTTCCTTCTGGAAAAAAATGCATTTCAACAGCACAAAATCAGGTTAAACTATTTAGTTATTAAGTAGACCCTTACTACCTACTGGCTGAAGACAGTGTACATTGGAGTGTTCAAGGCAATGTTGTATGGTAAACATTAGCTTCATAAAGTCCCTAAAACACTTAATTAATGAAAACCAAACATCAACCAATTTGCCCTGATTTACACACTCCCATCATCTGGAAACAGCTGCTTAATGTCTTTCTTAAAAACACAGCTTGCTTCTTTCAGTATTAATAAGCTATTATTGTGAGTTATGTCTTTCTTTCAGTATATAAATTCACTTAAAGAAAATGCAGAGAAGTTTATAAAATGTAAGCTTAATGTTGTTTTAACATATGCTGCAAGGAATTTTTTGAACCTTGGCAGTTTTGATAGAAGTCATCTCTCTTGAACTCTCCAAAATTTAACATTTCTGGTTCTTGGAAAAATGTGTCAGTTGGTACGAATACAAATTGGTAGCATGGATGAGAACTCAAAGATTAGGGGCTTCATGTCAGACCTGGCTCACCTTCTCTTGTACCCCCACACAAGTGTAGCACTAACTCCAGACAAGCAATGAAAGTTAGAAAGCTGTCAGGCGAGGAAGGAATTCATGCTCACTGAGATTTATCAGAGAAATCAGAGTTAGCTACACTGTTATGCTATAAGAAATAAAAAGAAAAAAGAAAAAAGAAATCAGAGTTAGCTATACCGAGAACACACACACTCTTACTCATGCCTACCAACTTCATCCAGTTCTCAAGTTTGGGCATTCTAAATGTAGATAAATATCTTTCTGTTTCACTATACTCTGATTGAAGTTTTCCATTTCTAACTTTTCTGAGACAATATTTTTAGTTAATATCTGTGGATTTGGGGCTTTCACTTAACAATAAATGAAACAATGCTGTAACTAAAGAAAAAATTTAGAAGTTATTACATGAAAGAATACCATTTGCTTATAACATACTGACAATTGGACAAAGAGATTTTTTTAAAAGGTGGAATAACTGACCATCTGCAAATACTCTTTTATATTTTCAGGTTCTCTACATCCATCCTAAAATGAGGTTATTACCTTTCTTTTACCATTAATCTTTATTTGATAGTGAAATAGTTAAATTAAAAACTCCTAGAAGATGGCTATTAAACTATGATATGGAATATTATTTGGAGATTTTGTTATAATTTATGTTTATATCAACACTTCTAGAAACATGGCGAAGCATTAAAAATGTTTAGTTAACGCTTGGCGCCTATAGCTCAACCGGCTAAGGCGCCAGCCATGTACACCTAAGGTGGCGGGTTCGAATCCCCAACCCGGACCTGCCAAACAACAATGACGGCTGCAACCAAAAAATAGCCAGGCGTTGTGGCGGGCGCCTGTGGTCCCAGCTACTTGGGAGGCGGAGGCAGGAGACTCGCTTCCAGGAGTTGGAGGTTGCTGTGAGCTGTAATGCCACGGCACTCTGCCCAGGGGGACAGCTTGAGGCTCTGTCTCAAAAAAAAAAAAAAAAAATGTTTAGTTAAAAAAAATTTAAAAGCCACAAGCCCTTTTCTCCCTGCAAATGAAATTAGTACAAAACCCTGGTAAAGACTGTTTAATAAATGTTTAAAGATAGGAACATGTTGTTTTGTTTTTAGACAGAGTATCATTTTCTTGCCCTTGGTAGAATACCATGGCATTATAGCTCACAGCAACTTCAAACTCTTGGAGTCAAGTGATTCTCTTCTTGTCTCAGCCTCCCACAGAGCTGGGAGTATGGGTGCCCGCCACAGTGCCTGGCTATTTTTATAGATGGGGTCTCTCTCTTGCTCAGGCTGGTCTCCAACTCCTGAACTCAGGCAATCACTGCCTTGGCCTCCTGGAGTGTTAGGATTATAGGCATGAGCCACTATGTTTTATTTTTTAAACTTCCATTTATATGTATTTGGCTTTCATATAATTATCATAAGAGTGAATGAAGCATTGTTAAAAAGTTCTACATGATATGCGTTTTCAGATTCAAAAGTCTCAGATTGTTATTAAAAACTTATTTACATACTTTAAATGAAGGGATTAAGAAAGTTGTGAGATGGTATGAATACTGGGATGATAGAAGGAGTCAGAAGTTGGTAAACTACTAAGTTTTTTATTTAGTATTAGGTAGGGGGTGGAAGCTTTAACACGCACTGGAAACAGATGCTCTGTTATGCTCCACAACTTTCATCTCTCTCCTGTGCTTCCTCCAAACACAGAGATTTTATGCCTGCTGCCCCACACCTCTTCCCCTGCGTAAATCTCACTGTTCTGACAAATCTTAGCCCTGTGACTTCTTCAGGGAAGTTTCATCACCCCTTTCTGACTCAGTCATGTTTCTTCTCACGATAGGCTTTCCTAACTCCCGATACATCTTATTCTTAACATTTCTCTGTGCTTATTTATTCTGATTATAAATTGTTCACTGTTGGGTGATTATTAGACAATATCCACCTTCTCCCTGGACTACCATGAAGGCAGGGTCTGGCTTACCTTCATTATTTATTTTATCCCCAGAGTTCAGCAATTTTTAAGACCTATGAATAGTAACCAAAAACATGTTTTGAGTGAGTGAAGGTATCAGTGATTAGACACGAGAATGGGAATCCTTGACAAACAGCGCATCTTATACAAAGCTGCGTGAATTTGGAATTGTTGAATGCAGGAAACAGGCAAGCAGATGAGAAATAAAGATGGAAAAATGGCAGGTTTTGATCTCAACAAACCTTTGGGCTAATCAGAGAAATATGAGTGAATTATGTACGTATGTTAGGCAATGTGAGGTATTTTAAAGGGGGGGTGAGTTATTTCATTTTGTTCCGTTTTATTTTGGAAATAATTTTAGGAACAATGTGAACTTGAAATTGGAAGAAGCTATTAGTACCAGACAGGTGAGCTAGAAAGTGATGGCGTCACTCAGCTGATAACAATGGGGACAGAACTAAAGATAGAGAGAAGAGGGTGGCTCCACTGTCGCCGCTTTCCCCTTGGGTTACATGCCTGTGATGCTTTCCAGGTTGATCGCCAGCCCCAGTTCATTCAAGGCTACAGAGTGATGTATCGTCAGACTTCAGGCCTGCAGGCCACGTCTTCTTGGCAGAATTTAGATGCCAAGGTTCCCACTGAGCGAAGTGCTGTCTTAATCAATCTGAAAAAGGGGGTGACTTATGAAATTAAAGTTCGACCATATTTTAATGAGTTCCAAGGAATGGACAGTGAATCTAAAACGGTTCGTACTACTGAAGAAGGTCAGTATTCAGATTTCTAACAGAAAGTAAACTTCTATTATGATAAAACCGATTCTTGTTACAGCTCTAGTTTATTATCTTCCTTAGAGAAGGAGAAAGAGATCATTTCAAAGTGAATCTGGAAAGTGCCATGTCCTCCTTTTGCTCTGAGAATTCCATAGAATCGGACTAGAAAAATGACATGAATGCAATTTGAATTTTTCTCAAGTAAACATTTACACATTGTTCTCAAGTAACATAAAAAAACTTATGACTTTTGGTTCACCTAAATTTGATTATAACAGAGTCTCATTTTATTTCTAATGTGGCGTTAGCTCATTTTGCTTCAGTAAAAGATAGAATATTGGAAACCCAAGAATAGAGTGTGTTCATCATGATTATATTTTGGGGGTATATAAAGCGTGACATTTTCTTTTATAAGCCTCTCTGCCCTGTGGCCACTGCCAGCCTCACTCGTAATTTCTAACTGAGAAGCAGCTTGCTCGTTGCCAACCCCTTTCTTCATAGGAACATTCTCTTCCTCTCTCCCACTTTGGAATATTTCTTCCCTACACATAATTTAAAAGTCAATCTCTGATAGACATGAGGTTAATGTAGGTTTCGACCAGTCCACTTACTGGTGTCTCCTTCACTAAAATAGAGGCTTTTAATAAATTTTGCCACGAAGGTAGATAATTTAGGTGCCAAATAAAATCCCCTATTCTGCTTTTACATGTGATTTTGCAGTCACAACTCCTGTAAAAGGCCTTTTTCTCAACATGTTTTGTATAATAGAAAAGCAGTCTGTAGAAAATGTATATTGGCTGCACATGCTAACATGTAGGTGTTCATGTGTGAGCAAAGAAGATTGAAGTCACGCATTCCTTCTAGTATGCAACAGGGCAAAAATGCTACTTTCCCGCTGTCTAGCAGTGTGATACCCCCCACCATCATTAGAAGTGCATACTTAAGGCATCATTAATCTACTTTTATGATGTATAAAGGAAAGATTACCAAAAATTAATAATAATATTTTTATCCACCATTCAATGTTACTCTAAGCTGCAAATTGATGGTAGTAATGAATGGAGTGGGTAACTTTAATACAGAAGGCTGCATTTGAAGCCTACCTCCAAAAGTCAATTTCTCTTCTGTTGGACTTTTCCTCTGGAGTACACATTTGTCACCGTTCAGCATACATTCCTCTCCAATTTTTGTGGCCTTGTGAAGGTAACATATGGAACTCAGCCGAGCTGTGTCTGGGAGTGATGAGCATTGATGTGGGTCCTCTCACACCTGTGGAAAGCACCAAGGCCTGGCTCATTGGCCTGTCAGGAAGCGGGCAGGGTGTGCTCACCAAGCCAGCCGGAAGCACATGAGAAACCCGGTTTCGAAAGTGTTATTTTTCAATACAGTCTACCGAATAATTGCAAGGTTGTAGATAAGTGGTCAGACATATGCCATCGTGCCATGTTTTGGAGGAATATTGTCACACAGGGTAATAATAAAGAACATTATTGTGTTACCATGTGTCTATATGTCCTATGGCTCAATGCAAATATGACCACACTGCAGAAAAATATGTCATAACCAAGTTCCCAAGCATGAGCAATCTGTTGTCAGGCTTTCAAAAGATCTCTTAGGACATTTTCAAAGAACTAAACTGTATTGACCTATTGATGATCTTATATAAAAAGGCTGCAATACCACAACATTCTTTAATTTTTTTTAATTATCAAGGAGGATTTTACACAGTACTCTGATTTTGCTTTTCCTGCCTTTGGTTTTAATGGAAGGATTCACAGAGAATAGCTAAGTTTGTCTCTGGTACATCAGACTTTCTGAGCGCTCAGGTGCCCTGGCTAGGAGATGCTGTAGTCTAGAATCGGGCATTGCTTCTAACTCATCTTCCCTCAGTATGGCTGTAATTAGTTATAGGAGAAACTATAAAAGAGGAGAATTACTGGAGGAAATAAAAATCCGGCTATTTCACATTTGACCCTCCGTGAACTGTTTTCATTTTTATCATCCGAGACCCTTGCCCATCCACATAAAATGAGTTTTAAATCTTAAATTATGGGTCAATTTATAAGCAGTTAATTATTTTTCCCAATACAAAAAGAAAGGATTTTTTTTTTCAGTATTGGTAAAATGTATAGCTATTTCTGTTTTTGTTTAGTAAACAAACTAAACCATACAAAAATGGATACCTCTAAGGCTGCCACTCAGAAATAACACCTGATAAAACTTTGGAATATGTCCTCTCAAAATAATTTTGGTTAGAAGCAGGTTTTTTTCTTTCTGTCTAGAAATTTAGCATATTTGAGTTAAAAGAATCAATATTCTAAAATCAGACATACCCAGATTCAAGTTCCGACTTGTTGTTTGGCTTCCAGAAGTATCTTACAGTAGCCGTCTGTTTCCTCCGCTGTAAAACAGAGATAAGAGTCATTTCTACTTCCTGAAGTTATTGTGAGAATTAAATCTGCCACTTAGCTCAGCACCAGGCAGGCAGAAAACACTCATCAGAATGTTAGCGCTTAAATTTACTTTTGAGTGCATATTAATATATCCACTATATTTAAAGGATATTTTTCAAAAAACTGTGAGTGTTGAGTACTGGATATACATTCTGAACTACTAGCAGCCAGAGCCTCAAGCACCGTGTCTGTTTATTCATATTCTGGAAGTGGTAATAATGCCTACGGAGACTTAGAGTGTGCTTTAATTTTAATTACTTCCTCAACAGCACCAAGTGCTCCTCCACAGTCTGTCACTGTGTTGACAGTTGGAAGCCACAATAGCACAAGTATCAGTGTGTCCTGGGATCCTCCTCCTCCCGATCACCAGAATGGAATTATCCAGGAATACAAGGTAGGATCTGGGTGAAGAAGGAAGGCTCTCATAGAAAGGTTCTGGGAGAAATCTCGGTGTCCTGTGAAGGGGACACAGCTCTAATGGTTTGCTTACTCAGTTGAAGTGTAAAATGTTTACTTATATTTTTGTGTGACATGTAGTGAAACAAATGCACAGATTAATAGAATCTAAGTACAGGGTCGTAGGTCACACAAACTCGGGGGGACAATTATACCACACTAGTGGGGTGGCTTCCTGTGGGATTCTAGAACCTCAGGAGTTTAGAGATAGGGAACACGGTAAGTAATGAAGCCTTCCCTCAGAAACTGAGTCTTTAACTTTGTTATCAGAATTCTCTCTTAAGAGGTTTTAGGGCAGCAGTTTTTAAACTGTGTTCTCAGGAAAAGATAGGTGAGGTAGGGTGGGGCACAGTGGGGTTAGGGGTGGGCAGCACCAACTCTTACTCTAAATGTGGCTTCTATTTATTGAGGTTCTGTGAAATATTTTACTGGGGGAAATAAAACAATCACTGAAACAATAAATTTTGAAAAAACCTCACTTGTAAAAAATTAATTTGTGTCATTTTTCAACTGTGAATTTTGCTATTTAGGAACAATTGATAACTATTATTTCATCACCATTATTTGATGTTTAAGACACAGAACTTGTCTAATATCTAAAAATAAGATTCGGTTTAATTGTGATGTGAACAGACCATGTGTGAGTGTAAAACTCCTCATTAAACTTGGAAAAATGCAGAACTATGATTTTTTACTACTAATAAACTACCATTTTGGAATGGTTAAAATAACAAATTAGCTACGTCTAATATAATAAGGAACAAGACACCCTACCTCACCTCAGAAATTCAGTCAGTATGGGAAATTAAGGTGAATAATTTCACCTAACGCTTTGCAGATTGAATTTTATTTGTAAGAAAAGTGATATTTTTAAAGTAGAATTTTATTCAGTGATAGGTCCACTTGTGATAGCAAATGAACTAACTAAATAAGCATTTATTTTAAAATTATTTCCCTCACTTTATAAAGAAACATGTTTAATAAAGGCAAAAATAAATGCTTTTATAAAATTGCATAATTACATAGATTTGAAAGTTTTGCAAGTGTTAGGACATAGTTTTAACAGGTAAGAATTATCCTTTATGGTGTCTGTGTGCTTTCCTGAGGTTAGGAATTTACTTTTTGTACCGTTAGGAACTAAATATCCTGAACTCTTATATAGTTAGATACCTATTTATTATTTTTTACAACATGATTTTTTTCTTAAATGGTAAAATTTCTTACTCATTGGAGATCTTTACTACTTTGATATCAAAATGCACATTTAGGAAGGGGCTGACTATCTCTCCATTAGGAACTCAGATGCCAAACGTAAATATAAATAACATAAATCACAGGGATCACTTTGCTGAAAAATTTTCAAGAGGTTACCTTTTTCAGAAATAAACCATATGTTTTTCTATAAATATGTTTATATATGTTGATTTTGAAATATTACATAGTCTGAATACAAACTTGGGTACATGGTGGAATTCTTTATATAATACATTTTGTAGTAAGAGATTCTCATATCCCAGAGGAAAATATACCTTAAAAGCCTACCTCCAATATCAGCGTCCAAAGATTTTCCACCACTTTGTTCTCATGCTGTGGACGTGGGTATAGATACGTTTTGGTCAATATTAAGATTTATTACTGTCAACGTCAATATTGGCTTTAATTTTGCTTTAGTCAATAACTATAACTTAGGTCAATTAATCTTGTTAACTACCCCTGTGTAAGTTAATATTTTCTTAAATAAAATATAAATTACTTACACGGGCACCTATATACCCTAGATATTGTAATCCATAATCACCATATCTTAATAGATTAGATGCATAATAAATTCTGATATATAAGTGGAGCCGAGGAAATTATGTGTTTTAATCCATGCCAAAATGCTGTTTGCAAACAATGACCACATTCCAGAGGTGTGAAAATCATTTTGCCTGGGAGGCGCCTGTGGCTCAGTGAGTAGGGCACTGGACCCATCTACCAAGGGTGGTGGATTCAAAACCAGCCCTGGCCAAACTGCAACAAAAAATAGCCAGGCATTGTGGTGGGCACCTGTAGTCCCAGCTACTTGGAAGGCGGAGGCAGGAGACTCACTTAAGCCCAGGAGTTGGAGGTTGCCGTGAGCTGTGACTCCACTACACTCTACCGAGGATGAAAAAGTCAGACTCTGTCTCTGCAAAAAAAAAATCATTTTGCCTTCTAAATTACTCATAATGAGCGTTCAGGTCTGGGAGGAAGATACAAATGACCACGGCATTGTTTTAGCTTCCCTGACTTTTCTTGTTTAACACAGGTGCATGTGCTTGTATACACACACAGACACACACCCACACACACACTTATATCTAGATAAACTGCAGAGTATGGGCTTTAGTGGGCTCACAGACACTTCTAGAAGACCAAATTATATTGCTCACTATTAAAAAGTAATCAATTCTAACAACCTAGTTACCAGAGATAGTAATTTCTCATATCCATTTGTTATTCGCTTTCCATTTTCTTAGATCTGGTGTCTGGGAAATGAAACACGATTCCATATTAACAAAACTGTGGATGCAGCCATACGATCTGTAATAATTGGTGGATTATACCCAGGTATTCAATACCGGGTCGAGGTTGCAGCTAGTACCAGTGCAGGGGTTGGAGTAAAAAGTGAGCCACAGCCGATAATAATTGGTGAGTATCAGTGTATGTGATCTCTGTTTTACAAGCAGTGGACTGACAACAAGGCAGATAAGGCTTTTAAATCTCCATCTTCGTAGTGAATATGCCCTCAGGGTGATTGAGGACACACGTGAGGGGGCAAGTGGGTCAGCTGACTATAGTTTCTCACAAAAATGGATGGTGCAATTGCTCAATGCTCTTAAGAGTCCCACGATCTTGAAAAATTACAATCTTTAAGAATTTAAATGCTGAAAAGTGATTTGAAAATTAGTCTTAGTTAGCAATTTTGGTTATCAGTGAAATATGGCAGAAAATGAGAGCGTTATTAAAGAGAGTGCACGCATCATATTTCAAATTTATATGCTTCCTCTTTGCCAGAAAAATATCAAAAATTAATCAGAAACAGACCAAAATAAATTTTGTAGTCCAAATATACTATCCCCAAAAAGAAAGTCATTACATCTACTATCATCATTGCTTAAAATTGTTCCCTCTCATCACAGATTATATTTACTCAAGGCGTATAAATGGAATCATACAGAATATAATGTTTTGCATCTGGTATTTTTCACAACAGATAATGTCTCTGAGATTGACCCGTGTGTGTACGATGAAGTTCATTATTTTATCGCTGAGTAGTCTTCAGTTGTATGAATATGCCATGTTTTGTCTGTCCACTTTTAAGAGAACTAACATTGTTGTGCAAATCTTTTTGAGAACATGTTTTCATTTCTTTTAAAGAAATACCTAGGAGTGAAATTTCTGGGTAAAGGGTTGTATAGTTTGACACTACAAGAAACTGCTACACAATATTCAACTTACATCATTTTAGACTTCCACTGGCGAAAATGACTCCTAGTTTTTCTACACTGACACCCACATCTAATGTTTCCAGTCTTTGTAATTCTAGCTATTCTCTTTATTATTTTTAACTTGAATTTTTTTTCATAACTAAATGTTGAGCAACTTTACATGTGCTTATTGGCTATTTTTGTAATCTCGTTTGTGAATTGACCACATACTTGCCTTTTTAAAATTGGGTTGCTTTTTGGTACTATCCATAGGAGCTTTTTACACATTCTGGATACAAATTCTTTGCCACGTGTATGTGTTGAAACTACTTTGTCCTGGTCCATGGATCTCCTATTCATTTTTTAAATAGTCATTTAATAAAAATAAGTTTTAAATTTTACATTAACTATGTTTCATAATTAGTTCTTTCTACAAATTTGTGGCCTACATTTATAGCAATTAAAAATATTTTCTTCTAGAAGATTTTATAATTTTAGCTTTTATGCTTAGATCTATTAATCTTAAGGTAAATGCATCTGATTCAAAGATTGAGGCTTTTCATTTCCATATGCATATCAAATTGTATAGGCACAATTTACTGGAAAGTCTTTCCTTTCCCCAGATAACCATATACATGTGGACGTATCTAGATTCCCCGGAGGGTTCCATTTGTTTATATGTCTCCCCATATGCCAAAACACACTGTCTTGATCACTGCAGCTTATAGTTAAGTCTTTAAAACCCTATTGCTGCTATGGGTCTGTGTATTTTTCCTTTCTCTCTGTACATTTTTCTTTGATATATTTGCTGCTGTAAGTGAATGTTTTAAGAATGTTACCTCGTCTTTTAAATGTACCCTTTATCATTATGAAGTGCCTCTCTTTATTGCCTAGCAAGAATCTTTGTCCTGAAATGTACTTTGTCCATTGTTAGTGTAGCCACACCATTTGTAATTTTTCCAATTTTTTACTTTAACCACTGTTTCTCTGTATTTGATGTACATTTCCATTATTTAAGTAACATTTTTTTGACCTCAGTTTTTTATCAAATCTGACAACATTTGCCTTTTAACTACAGTATTATCATTATGTAATCATTGCTATGATTGATGCACATGGGCACAAAATTAATATCTTGATATTTGTTTTTTGCCTGACTTTGTTCTTATTTTACTAATTCCCTGCTTTCTTTTGGATGAACTGAAAAAGTTTTGGTATTATTATTTTATGTCAATGAATGAATTGCTAGGTATCCTTTTTATTAACTAAATGCTGCTGGGTTGTTTTTATTGTAACATTTACTGTAGGATTTGACTATAATACCAGGCTCGTAGAGCCGTGTAATTCTAGTTTATCCTTTATCACTATTGTTATATGTTTTACTTCTATCTCTGTAATAAACAGGAATATACAAATTATAGCACAAGATAGTTTGGGCTTTAAAAATCGATTATCTTTCAAATAAGTTAAAAATCAGAAAAATATTTTGTTACTCATATTTTTCCGATATTTTGCTCCATAAAGCTAATGATCATTCACTATGACTACGTTAACTTTCAGTCCTTTTCTCCTTCTTTTACTTCCTTATATTATCTCAAGTTCTATATCTATTGATTACTTTCTCTGTTGACCATGAGTCGTATTTTCTGGTTTGTTTTTCTTGTTTTTATATGCCTGATAACTTTTACTGTATTCTACACATTGCAGATAACATCTAAATGTGTTTATGGGGTGGTGCCTGTGGCACAGTGGGTAGGGTACTGGCCCCACATACCAAGGGTGGCGGGTTCAAACCCAGCCATGGCCAAACTGCAACAAGAAAAAAAAAAAAAAGCTGGGCATTGTGATGGGCGCCTGTAGTC